AATGCTTCTTCTATTAGTTAACATGAAAAAATTAACGGAAGGACCACATTGGGATAAAAATGGTAAACAGTAAGGACCAAATCAAGGATTTTTTAAGTTTAAAGACCAAATCGAAGGTCCGTACAATAGTTCAGGAACCAAAATGGAGTTTTAACCTTTTCTTTATTAAAGACATGTTTAAAAATTTAATTTTTAATTAGTATTTATAACAATTAATTACTATGATTAGTGTTTTACAAATTAAATTATTTTGAATTATCAAATAAAATATTTAAAATTAATATTTAAAAATAAGTATAAGAATTTTTTTATAAATGAAAGCTGGTCTCTAATATATATATTTTTTTTTGAGAAAAAGTTTATCTCTAATAATTATACATGGCTTAATCAGTTCTTACTAAATTGTCAATATCTTGAATCTAGGATTAAGATCTGAGAATAACTTCTCAAGTTAGTTAGGCTAGGCAGGCAGAAATCCTCCTATGATGATTTAATTAATGATATTAAATTTGATATAATCAATAAAGTAATTAAAGTTACTAAATCAATTTAAAAATTGATATATATAATTTAAAAAATATATGAATAGAAATTTTAATCATATTATTAAAATTTAAAAATATTAAAAAAAAGATTTTTTACAAATTCTTTATAAAAAATTTAAAAGAATTACTTATAAAATACTTTTGCGAAGTTTGGGCCGGATCGATTTCTTTTTCTCTAATGGGCCCTATCCGAGTCTTCTTAAGCCCGACCTTGCCTTGCCTCAGGCCCTCATCAGCCGCTTAAGCGCTGCCTAGTGCCTCCTCTGAACTTTGACAGTCCGTTTGGGAGACCGGACAAGTCATGGGATAGGATAAAAATTAGTCCCATCTGACTGTAACCTGCGTTTGGTGGTGCCATTCAAACCTTATGAGATAAAAGCCATCCCACCTCCCCCGTGGGATTACGTGGGATGAGATATAATTTTTATGGGACTTCAAAACAAAATGTCAATTTTACCCTTCTCTCTCTCTCTCCCCCTCATCGTCGTTCATTCTCCCAACCTTAGTCTCACTTGTCACGATCGATCGATCGTCGTAGCTGTAAGCTGTAGCCGGTGCTACTTCGACGTCGAGGTTTGTGTAGAATCGCTAGATACCTGATAAGCATCAAGCACTGGGTAGGCCTTGCCGACTCGATCTCATCTTCCTTTTCATCGGCGACAAAAGAGATAAAGGAATCATCGCAGACACCAGCTTTGTCTGGGAGGTCGCCCCTCACTTTGATGCCATGGTTCTTTACCCATAGATAACTCAATTTTCTTCACCATTTTTAACTCTAGCTATTTGATCAATTTCTTCGCCATTTTTCTTTTTTGTTAATAATTATATGTGTTTATTTCATTTGGATTTATCTGTTGTTTTTGCACATAATAGAGTATTATCAATTGGATAGTTATTTTATTTGGGTTTATTTGTTTGTTGGAATTACAATTTCTCTGCTTTGATTTTTTTTTATTTAAAAAATGAAAATAGAACTATAATTTAAGAAAGGTAAGGATGATTATACGGAAATCTTTGATTGCATTCATGGTTTATATATGGCAATGTCTAATTAATTGCCCTATTGATTATTGATTATATTGAAGTTGTATTACTTCTGATGAAATTAGGAGTTTTGAATTACTTTTATTATTTTAAAGGAGTGGTACTATATATGAATGACTATTAATGGTGGATTTGATAATTAACTTACATTTTTTTTATAAAATTTTTATGTTTATTGTTTTGAAGATTTAGAATGTAAATTTTATTATACTCATTTTACATTATATTCTTTTTATTTTGTTCTTTAAACTGTAAAAAGTGTAGTTTTTTTATTTAATTTTTTTTATGAATTATTTTGATAAATTAGACTTATTTATATTTTTTCCTTTGTAATTTATGATTTTTAATATACAAATTATTTTACTTATTT